AAGTAATAATTCTGAAAGAAAATTTATAATGTGTATTTCATAGTATTAAAGGGCCTTCATAAAAAGCCAGTTTCAAATTTTATGCAAGAAAAGAGATTACTACAATAAAATAACTTTAGTAAAAGTAATAAAATGAAAATGGAAAGCATTAGAAACAGCTCAACGGTAATAGAGAAATTTGGCTAAAGTCTTTAATTGGCAAATATTGCTCCCAGTAATATCCTGCCCCAGTGCTGGGGATTGAATATAGAGTCTTGTACATGATAGACAGCATCTTGTCACTGGGCTACATCCCTAGCTCAGAAATTATTTTCCTTAGCAAAATCCATCAGTGTCACTGAATTCCAGAGAAAATGTTTCTGTTCTTAAACACAGAATAAAAATGTCATTGGAGAACATCTCCACCAAGCCAAATTGATGGCACTGGTCCTGGGAAACTTAAGGCTCACCCAGAAGGGTGTGGAGCAGGGCTGCGGGTCTGCTGGGACTTCCTGCTTCAGGGTGGTGTTGCATTTCCTAACATTTTCACCTATAGAAATAAAATCTGATGGATGGTTTGGTCAAATGAGGGGAGGAGAGTTGGAAGGAGGAGAAAGAAAGATGATAGAGAGAGGGAAATGGGATGGAGACTAGACTTGAGGGTGTGGATGCAGTGGTGGCCCAGGTAGACAGTGAAAGGTACACAGTGGATCCCCTCAGTGGATCATCCCCCATCCCTCCTCCTTCTCACACCCAGAACATCTTATATCCTAGGTAAGCACTCTTCCCCTGAGCTATATCCCCAGCCCTGTGAATGTATTAAAGCCCACCAGCTTCCTTAGATCCGATCCCATCGCCATTCGGCGGTGGCTTGACCTCACACTCAATATTTGGATGACTGTGCCCTGGAAGAATTTCTTCATCTTGCTTTGGGAGACAACAGGCCAGGTTCATAGCTATCACCCACTCACTGCCCGGATGCTCCTGGTCTTGACAGCCTTGGGACTGTGGGGAGGGTGGGCAGATGTCTCCAGGGAGTAGGGTTGAACTGAGTCCATGTAGTCCTCTAGTTCCATCACCAGAAGGCCTGCCCTGAGTTGAAATGAATCACTTTAGCCCTGAGGTTTGTAGGATAGTGTGTCAGCTGTTTGTTCTCTAATCCCAAATCAGTCACTTGGTATCTGATTGTTCTTAGATGAACCGAAGCTGTGGGGTTTCCAAGGAAGTCTGAAATGGCCTTTACATGACCTTCCCTGGACTCCTGCTGCTCTTAAATGTCTTTTGTTTTGCAACCTAAGTTATTGGGAACATTTTTATGAAGAAGGAGCCTTGGGGCATTTTTTAAGAGTCTCCGAACAGGCTCTGAAGCCCAGGCACCCACATCTCTGAGAAGCTAGCGGGTAGGGGTGGGGTATGGCTGTTCAAATCCTTGGCAAACCCTCAATCAACTACTCATGCAGCCGTTAGCGGGCTTTTCTACAAACACGCTATAATTAGAAGTAATAACCTTGACAATAAAAAATGCTTTTAAACTTAAATTTTCATTTTCTTTCTCCAGCCAGATAGCACAAAACAAATATTAAGATTCCATCAAAGTCAAGAGTATACAGGAGTCCTGATCAAAAAATCAGAGCCATGAGGAAGAAAACTGTGTACCTCAACCTCCCTCAGGCCTGGGAAGGTATGGCACCCAGCTCTGTCTTTCGTTTTCGTCACACTTTGGATATCCTTTGATGGAAACTCGTGTTTGCAGAAGGTAAGGATACAACCAGGTGAGAAAAGAGGAGAGCTTAAAAACAGGTAAATGTAACATCATTTTCTGAGAGGCAGGGTCCAGGCAAATATCTCACAAGGCACATGCTGTTGTCCCTACTCCGTGGACAAAACATGGGGGGACAAGCTGAGGGAAGTGTGCCCCCATCCAAAGCCAGGCTGCCAGAGTGAGCCAGAGTGCGAACCCAAATCCCTGCAGTTTCTTCTACCAGCTCTGTATTCTCTTCTCATTCACTTACTTCCTCCCATTGCAAAAAAATCACATTATTGAACTATAATTTACAGATTACAGTGATGACCCATTGAAGTGTACAACCCAATAATTCTTAGTGAATGTATTGCACGATGCAGTCATTGCCATTATCTAAGTTACCTCAGTTTTTGTCACATCAACCCTCCACCTCATGTCAGGAATAATTAACTTGCTCTGTTTTCTGTTTCTAAAGATTGGTCTTTTAGCCCTTATGAAACATACCGAGTCTCCCAATATGTAGTCTTGTGCGCCTGGCTTCTTTCACTTAGCATCATGTTCTTGGTTCATCCGTGTAACTTACAGTAATACATGGCTGTTTTAAATTGGTAATGGGATTCTGTTGTGCATATACACAACCTGACAGTCATCAAATCACCCTTTGGTGGACCTGTGAGCTCTGCTCCGGTGCTGGTTACCAGGCAAAGCAAGTCTTTATGTGGAAATGGATACTTTTATTTTTTTTTGGCTATATACTTAGGAGTGGAATTTCTGGGTCCCCTGGTAACTGTGTTCAGCTTTTTCAAGAATTTTGAGGCATTATTTTTCAAAACAGACATCCCATTTCACATTGCCACCGGCAACAAGGAAGCATTTTAGATTTTACACGTCCTTGCTAACATTTGTCATCATTGGTCTTTTTCTCAGAGCCACCCTGGGGTGGGGGTTGTGCACACTTGAGTGTGGTTTTGATTCACACACCATTAGTGACAGGTGGTGTTGAGCCCCTTTCCCACACTCCCCAGCTCTTCCGAGATCTACTCCTGATTTTAATGGTGCCCCTTGGTCTGTCTGTCTCTGTCTTCTCATCAGTAAAGGAACAGATGTGCCAATTTTGTTGATCTTTTCAAAGAACCAACTTCTAGTCTCATTGATTTTTTTCCCTCTCATGTTTCCCTCTCTTCTATTTTATTGGTTTCCTCTCTAAACTTTACGAACTCCCCTGTTGCTGCCCAAACATTTGAGGAAGGCAGGGCACCTGGCTCTCTCATGCCACTGCTCTGGCAGAGGCTCCTGCGGTGGCCCGGAGGGTCACAGCACACACTGTGTCAACTTGGAGTTTGTATGAAGCAGAGGGTCTCCTAGATGCATGATGATTGAAATGGCCCAGACTACAAATGCAGCCTCCTCTTGAAGAGAATCGGCCCTAGCTTCTCCACTCCTTAGGGATACAAGGAAAGGGAGGGGACGAGGGCAGGAACTCAGAGGCCTGTCCAGCTCCCTACATCCTCTTATTTGTAGTCCCTCTTTGAGGGACACACTCTCTTCCTTTGTAAAAGAGAGCAAGAATAACCTGATGTACACAGAGTTACTTAGCTGTGAGAAAAGTTCCATGATAGCCACTACCGTGTTTAAAAAATGATGGAAGTGCTAGAACAGGCTCTTGCCCTGGCCACTTCCTTCTCTCTTCTTCTCAGCCTCAGAAACAAGTTGGCTGCAGAACAGCAGGTGGCATCATGGTCTCCGCCACTGCCCCCTCCCACGTGGCAGGGATGAAGGAGGGAGCAGAGGCTGAGAGAAGGACACAGCTCTGCTTTGTCCTTGGGAGATGTAAGAGTATTTCTAGCCCTGGCCACACCTGCACCTGCGTGTGCCAAAGCAAAGGGGCATCTCTGCAGCTTGAGCAGAGGCTGCAAAGGGAACCAGGAGAGAAATCCCTGCTGGGTGGCTTTACCAGGCCTCTCTGTGGGTTCCCTTTGAGTCACCACGGGCTGACTGCCATTCCTACCAGACTTACTGGTGTGGCACAGCAAAGCTACACACCCACAAGACACACCGTTGAGAGCACTTACATGTCAAGAAAAGGATCACGCTTTCAGAGTTTGTCATGATAGATGTTAGGATCTGTTTTGAATTTTCAAACTAGATTGCTGTAAACTTTAGATTCAGGCTTTAATATTTGAAGAAAATAAAGCTATTCATTTTAGTACACACTGCTGGTACATATTGCTGCGGTGTGCAAATGAAAGAAATCCTGGATCCTAGTCTGGATAAACAAGACAGCCTATGATGTAACTTTGTCTTGTATGGTGGTTCAATATTGATCATCAACTTGACAGGATCTAGAACCAGCTAGGAGGCAAGACTTTGGGACTGCCTATGACAGTGGCTCTCAATCTTCCTAACGCTGCCACCCTTTAATACAGCTCCCTCATGTGTCATGGTGACCCCCAAGCATAAAATTATTTTCATTGCTGCCTCATAACTGTAATTTTGCTGCTGTTATGAATAATAATATAAGTATCTGTGTTTCCCAGTGGTTTTAGGCAGCATCTGTGAAAGGGTTATTTGACCCCAAAGGGATCTTGACCCACAAGGTTGAGAACCACTGCTCTGTAAGGGTAGGTAGGGTAATCATGGTGGAGACCCACTTTAACATTGCGTGGTGCTGTTCTGTGGGTTGGGGATTGGGCCTGAATGGATAGGGGAAAGTGAGCTGAACACCAGTATTCCTCTGTTTCCTGATAGCAGATACAATATGACCAGCTGCCTCGGGCTCCCGCCACCATGCTTTCTCTACCATGAGGTATGCACCCTCAGTCAGTGAGCCTATATAAGTCCCTCCTTCTTTAAATCCCTTTGTCAGATATTTTGTTGCAACAAAGAGAAAAGTAACTAATATGCTTAGCTTTTATTATAGAAATTAGGGAAGCTGCCATGACAGGCCGGAGAGCATAGGAGAGAAACAGCCTCAACCTCTGAGGTTCTGGACCAGAGCAGAATTGGATGTTTGAGTTTCAAAGGAACACCTGGAACCCTTGCTCACTGGGGGGTCTTCTTGCGCCCTGCCTCAGCTCTGGACCCCCCAGTCTTACCTCGACCACTTCACATCCCAACCTTCTACTCAGGTCATCTCTTAACGGCCTCCTTCCTTCCCGGTCATTCTTCATGCCAGCCAGCGCCCTGCCCTCTGCATGAATACCCCAGCCTGTCCCCCATTTTGGAGCCAGCACTGGTGGGGGAATGATCACAGGCTAAAGCCGAGCTTCAGCGTTACCTATTTGCCTTTCCAGATCTGCGGCTTCATCAGGAGTGGCTCGAGGGAGGACTCCCGGGTCACTGAAGCTGGTCCGAAGCAGAGTCCCCATCACAAAGAAGAACAAGATGCCGCCGACCACGGGGATGGCGGGGGTGATGTTCACTGCGAGGTATGGACAGCTGCCAGCAGGTTGAAGAGAGAGAGAGAAGAAAGGGTTACAATGTTAGGATCCACAGTCACAGTTTGGATCTTCCAAGAAGCCAAAGCTTATGTAGATGAGTAAGGCAGATTTCTATTAAAACTCAACTGGGCTGGGGAATGTGTCTCAGTTTAGGGCGCTTGTCCAGAAACTGTGAGAACCTGAGTCCGGATCCCCAGAATCCATAAAGTACCACAAGTCTATAATCCCAGTGATCCTATGGAGAGAAGAGAGCTTGAGGCAGGAGTCTTCCCAGAAGCCCATATTCCATCTTGAACTAATAAAGAGGCCCCATCTCAAATAAGGCAGACAGCGAGGGACAGAAGCACAGGCCACCCTCTAACCTCCACTTGTAAGATGTGATATGTGCATACTGATGCTTACACACATACACCCACACAAGAGATGGATTTAAATTTTAAAAAAGAAAATTTAGGCTGGGTGTTGTGGCATACACCTTTAATATCAGCACTCAGGAGACAGAAGAAGGTGGATCTCTATGCATTCAAGGCCAGCCCGGTCTATAGAGTGAGTTCCAGGACAGTCAGGGATATACAGAGAAGCCCTGTCTTGAAAAATGAAAAAAAAAAAAAAGATTTGGGGTGATCTTCAGTTCTCAGTGCTCTTTGTGCCAACTCTACCCTATCCACTGACCATGACAGTCCAAGCTCCACAAGAGAAACTCTGGCAGAAGGAAAACAATCCTGCTTGTACAATCGATCTAGAATGTAGCTTGAATAAATACACACAAGCCCTTTGCATTGCAAACACTTGTCCGTCCAAAGCCCCCACCCATCTCTGGAACCACAGATGATGATGTCAATATAGAGACACCTCAATCTGACCCACCTGGGTCAGACCACCCAGGGACTTTCTGCCAACATGGCATTCACTTGCAAACACCAAGGAAACATTTGTCAATATTGTGGGGGCAGTTTGTCCAAAGGAGGGTGATACACCATAGAAACGGACTTGTAGCGGAGCTTCTGAAGAGCATGGGAGGAGAATCACAGGCTGAGCCACACCAATCCCATGCTTTCCCGGAAATCACCTAGAGCCACCAATCCTGTGCTTTCCCAGAAAGCACTGAGAGTCACCAATCCTGTACTTCCCCAGAAAGCACCAGGAGTCACCAATCCCAGGCTTTCCCAGAAAGCATGGGGAGCAACCAATTCATGAGTGTGGTCCAGCTCTTACTATTTTTGTTTTGTTTTTAAGAGATGGGGTCTTTCTTGGTTCCCCAATCTGGACTTTCTACCCTAGGTTCAAGTCATCCTCCTCTTGCAGCTTTCCAAGTAGCTGGAGCAACAGATGTTTACCTCTAGTCACATAAATTGTGTGAAATCCTGCTCACTGTTGGTGGACAGAGGAGCATATGCCTCAGGGACTGTGGGAGTGGAAGAGGAGAGACTTGGGCAAATTAAAGTTGTGCTGGGATCTGACACCGGACCCTTGGCCTCATATTTTGGTGCGGTGGGGCTGGGAAGGTCCAAGCATTGGACCGTTGGCCTGCTGTCATGGTGTTTTGGCACTACAGAGGTGAGGAGACATAGAGCAAAGAGTTATCCTGGAACTTGGTGAAGGATGAGGTCTGTTGTGGCTATCATTAGTCTCTTGTGGCCACACTAAGTGTTGTCATGGGTGTTGGAGAAACTCCTAGCTTGTCCTCAGAAGCAGAAGTCCTGGCTGTTCAAGTAAAGAACAGAAGCCAGACAAGGAGGTGAGCCTTGCTTGGATGTGGGAGGTGGATAGGGGTGTGGCTCCCATCTAGGTACCAGCACCCTGCTGTGTACAGGTCTCTGATGGGATGCCCAGAGGATATTTATTGCTAAGATTGCTCTCAAGGGCCACACGACAGGAATCCCTTTGCTGAAGGAGTGCAGGCCTTTCAGAATCTTCTGCCATGAAGAAGCCCAGAGACTCCCCTTGACTTGAGGAAGGTGGTGGAATGGTCCCGGACATGAGTAGTCAGGTCAGGGACTGATTCCTGCTGGCCATGGGGACTGGTATCTAGGAAGGTCACCTGACTAGAGATGACACACCAGAGCATTTCCAGTGCGTTTGTGACCACTCCCACCAACTCTGCTGCAGAAACAGCAAAGCAAAACCATGCCACAAAGTAGTGCTACATCACACTCCAGCTGGGCTGAGGGCTGTGATGTTTCTTCACAGGATTAAAAACAAAAACAAACAAACAAAAACACCAATTAGGTCATTGTTATTCTGGCACCAACTCCAGGACATCTGAAACTATGAGCATTCCCAGAGAATCTCATAGAAAGTGAATATGACACAAAAAGTGTGAGGATACAGAGGACCTTGCCTGGGGTGGCGGGGTGGGGGGGATATCTAAGAAATATTGACCTTAGAACAATTGACTGTGTCCAATTGTTGGAAACTTAATCTCCAAAGTGACTGCCCAAGACTTGGGGGCTTTAAGAAACAATTAAACCCCGAGGACCCCACTCTTACCAACTGTGACATTGTCACCAGAAGTTCAATAGTTCGAGAGTATGTTTGCTATAAAACTGAGTTTAGTCCTTGTGGCAATTTGAAAGAAAATGGCCAAGGAGGGGCATTATTAGGAAGTGTGGCCTGTTGGAGCAGGTGTGGCCTTGTTGGAGGAAGTGTGTCACTATGGAGGTGGAGTTTGAGATCTCATATATGCTCAAGCCATGCCCAGTGAAACAGATCACTTCTTGTTGCCTGTGAGTCAAGATGTAAGAACTCTCAGCCTCTTTTCTAGCACCATGTCTGTCTGCAAGCTGCCTTGCTTCCCACCATGATGATAATGGACTAAACCTCAGAAACTATAAGCCACCCCAATGAAATGTTTTCCTTCATAAGAATTGCCATGGTCATGGTGTCTCTTCACAGCAATAGAAACCTTAACTAAGACAGCACTCTTTTGATGGCCCTTTATCTTACTTCTTATATTCTGCCATGGGGAAACACAGCACTCACTAGAAGGAAGACCCTTGATCTTGGGTTTCCTGGTTTCCAAAACTGTCAGAAATGAATCTATGCTCTTAGCAAATCACCCAGTCTCAGACATTCTGTAATGATGTCATGAACTTGACTAGCATAACCCTTTGGAAAACTAATCACACATCACAGAAATGCCTCTTCAGTTCAGTGGGTATTGCTGTGTGTGAAGGGAGTCTGTGCTTCTCTCCAGAGGCTTTAGGCAAAAACTGACACAATTAACACTCTTTAGCGGGCTTCTACCTTTTCCAAAACATTTGATTTTGTGACAGTAAGCATTGAAAAGCATCAAGTTAAATACTTAAGGAACTAGGGACTCTATAACCAAGCCATAAAGTGGTCTCTCATGCTCCTGAGCCTGCAGAGAGTTTCCCCGCCCCTGCACCCTGGGATGTGGACCTACCAAAATGGCCTCCTTCCATTGTGTGGGCCTGGGTCCTGGGGTCTGGCATTGAATTTATATTTCAACTTAGGACATGAAAAGAATTGAGAAGCCTCATCGGAAATAGCTGTTTCCCCATTATGGACAATAAAAACAACCACCAAAATCTCAGTACTGTATCAAACCCAGAACCCAAACATCTGTAAAGGGCCCACATGTGTGAGAAGAAATGGCGGATGAAACCTTTAGGGGGGGTCTCAGTTTTGTTTCCTGTTGTTGTTATTTTTTTTAAAGTACCCTGGCAAAAGCAACCTAAAGGAGAAAGGGTTTACTTAGTTCACAATAATACGTTGCAGTCAATCCTAATGGTAACATGTAGGTGGTAGGAACTTGAAACAATTAGTCATGTTACAGTCACAGTCAAGAACAGACAGTAATGAATTAATGTAAGATGCTGATTGGAAAGCTGCTCACATTTAGGGTGGGTTTTCCCACTTCAATTAATCCAATTAATAGATCTCTCATAGGCAACAAGCATGCTCACTGCCAACTTAGTCTAGACAATGTCTCATTGAGACTCTGTTTCCAATTTATGCTACATGTGTCAAGTCGGCAATCAAAACCAGCCACCACACTAACCATGTTTAGATTGTCCACAAGGCACCTAAATTCAATCACTTCAAGTCCAGATCTTGCACTGTGACATCAGCTTGGGAGTATTAAGATAGGGATTCTGATCCCGGAGCACATTAAAAGTATGTGTCTTATCATGCAGATAGATGTTAGCTGTTTCTCTTATTGCCATTTAAAAAGCAACCTCTGTTGTGTTACGCCTTGAAAATGAGCCAGTGTGTGGCCACCAGAAACAACCCATCCATGTTAAATTCAACCAAAGAAGACCAGTGTTAAACTCGATGACACTGACTGCATGCATCGGTGATGTAAGAGGTCCCCAAGTTCTTGAGGAAGGCACATGACAGAATTTATGAACAAAGTACCACGAGCTGTGCAGTCTGCTTGCAAATCGTTTAGAAAAGGTATGGCATAGGGAGATAAAACAGAATGAATATTTATAGGTGAATTTGGGTAAAAATTACAGATATATGTTATTATTCTTACTGCAACTATTCTGTGCCCTCTGGTTTGCTGAAGCCTGTAACTCCTTTCGTGTGGAAGTTGAGGAGCTGCCCTTCCGAGTGTCTTCTTCAGAGATAAGGGAGAGACTGCACTATAGCTTGTTGAACTACTACACACTACTGACACATTCTGTGTGCATTTTCCAGGCTCTTTGGGATCCTCCATGCTCTGACGCACTAGGAGATGAGCTCTTTTATGTCAGTACAGAGTTATGAAAAATAGTGAGTGCTTGGTGACCACTGTCCTTTGTCACCAGCCTCTGTGTGACCAAGGACAGTGCTAAATTCTCTTGGGAAGTCCCTGAAACTCCTTTAACAATGCTGCAGGATTTGTGCCTGTAGACAATAGCATCTGTGCTGGAAAGACAACTACAAGCTGGTGTACGGAGGAAGCCGAGAACATCTATAGTCCTTCTGATAATGACCAGAAGTAGCAGACTCTGCCTTTGACTGTGAAGGTAGGCTGCCAGGAAGAAG